ATGTACTAAGAAAATTTTGGGTGGGTTGGGTGAAGTGGCATTTAAAAAAAAAAAATGCTCATCTCTGCCACGCTTGCATACGGGGACGAAATCAATGCACCGGTCGATCGACTTGTGGGTGCGACCGCCGGCGAACGTGACTTGGGCTGCGACTTCCTTTGAACGCGTGGCCCAAGACCAACTCGTACCATAAAGTCTTGGCTGATGTAGTTGCGAGTAGCTCCGCAAACGATCAAAGCGCTGCAGGTCGCCTCTCCGATCTTAATGCGTATGTACAACAATGGCGCGTCGGTGTCGTCGTACCGGTTGTGTATCGAACTCGTGGTCAATCTTCATAACGTAGTCGTGAAGGTCAACAACCTCTACTCCGGCGTCCATCAACAGAGCTGGTACTGCAATGTGCAAGTAATCCCGCAATTGTGCCATGAGCACATTGCAATGTGGTTTCGACAATCGACCGATCGAGGGAGGGGGCATCCATTGGAAGTCCACGAATGTCAACGGGTCGAGCTCTTCAAGTCTTGACCATGACGTCGAATCCCCGACGAAAATTGGCAGCGAAGCTGCCGATGGTGGTGAGACCGTGCATGCGGTGGATTGTTGCACGTGGAGTGATTGGTCCAACGGTGTGACCAAGTGGATAGCGTAATCCTCGTAAGTGAACCGAGGACTCGCGACATCCGCATTCTCCCTAGATGTGTATGAGGCCGCCAGCAAGGCGATCGAATCTAGCGGAGTGAGAGGTGGAGTCACCTCACCTCCCGCGCAGCTCAGTTTTCTGAGCTGATTCGAGGTCGAGCGTCCTCCTTGCCTTGATCCTGGCATTGGGAGGTCTTGTGCTTGGTGTTGTTGCACCAATAGCTGCGCCACTTGCATTCGGCCTCAGTCAAGCTAAACTTGACCCATGGTACTGGCTGTCCGTTTCTGGCCGGCGATGCGGTTCGTGCCCTCCCTTTTCCACGGGAGTTGTTGTTGCTTCACGGTTGGACAGCGGTCACCTGATCTCCCTCACGTGATGCTTGGGTGGCTGCCGGGTCGTCACAATGATGTCCCTTTAGACTGCAGTGACTTGCTGCGGACGCGGACCAAATTTTCCTTTCTCCACATGGGCTGGCTGCCACGCCGTCTTCTCGTGTGCAACAGCCCTCTCACGACCCTTGGCGATGATTTCGATGAAGGTCGTGTACTGCTCGCAATCACCGAGTGCGAGGCTCAAGGCGGCACACGACCGGTTGTAGAACTCTCGGCGCAGATGCGGAAATGGCAAATTGAGATCGGGTGTTGCCACGATCTTTTACTATTCCGTGAGCCAAATGCGCGTCGATGTGTTGCCTTGAGTCATGGTGAAGTGGGCGGATGATGGCCAACGCCGGGGCGTCGTCAATAATGAACCACTTCTTCCCATGAGATTTTCTTGTGTAAGTTGTTGACTTGGACGGCGTGGATGGTTGCCATGTGGCTGAGCCAGGTCTAGCATCTGCCCTTGACGTTGAGGAATAGCGCCGCAATGTACAAATGTTCAGGGACTCATGAATCCCAAGCTCCGTTGTAAAGCCTTGCCACGACTGGGTCCTGGTGAGTATAATCGTCAAATTTCTCGATCCGGAATGTTGGCATCTTGTAGTGCTTCGAAGCACTGGTGCTACGACCGTTATCGAGTGGCTGGTGTAGCTGCCTGAGTTCGGTCTGCAAGGTGCCAAGTTGCTCACTGATGGTGGCTGGTGCGGCGAAGGTGCTGATGTCGCCGAGCATTGCGACTACATGGTCAACTCGTTGCTCTAACTGGCGGGTTGAGGCTGCATTGTTGGGTTCCCCAACATTTGGTCTTGGTGCTGCTTTCTCCAGTACATGGGAATCAAGTGCCCGTGTAGCACCCTCAACACTGCCCATCGGGGATTGGCCAGTTCCTGGTGCTGTTTTGCCATTTCCTGGTGCTGTTTCACCAGTTCTTGGTGTTGTTTCTCCAGTTCCTAGTGTTGTTTCCCTAACTCGGACTGCAGGTGGTTACAAGTGTAAACCAACAGGGTCATGAGTTTTGAGAGGAACTCCTTGTGCTGCTCTTCCGGTGTCGTGTCGTCGTTGTCCTCAGCTGGTTCGTGCCGCTGTAGCAGATCCTGGGCCTCCTTGCGGCGCGCCTGGGTATCTGCATCTGCTTCGGCCTGAAGCCGCTGCTTTTCAGCTGCTGCCTCTGCTTCAGCCTGTAGGCGGGCTGCCTCGGCTGCCACCTGGCGCTGTACCTCAGCCTCGATCAGTGCAAGCTGAGCTAGAAACGGCTGATGGTACTCGTCAATGGACTCGCCGGCCAGTTGGCCTGTCATGCCCAATGATGAATTCGTCACGGTGGTGTGGCCCTGCGGATGTGGCACTGATGCGGACGAGGCACTGCCGCTGATGTGGCACTGCTGCTGACGTGGCACTGCTGCTGACGTGACACTGCTGCTGACAGGGACTGCTGTTGTCGTAGCACTGCTGCTGGCAGGCCACTGCTGACGGAGCACTGCTGTTGTCGTAGCACTGATGATGTGGCACAGCTGCTGACGTGGCACTGCTGCTGACGTGACACTGCCGCTGACGGGGCACTGCTGTTGTCGTAGCACTGCTGACGTGATACTTACCAACTGAGCTACAGTGTGTGTGATCTAAACTAGAATCGACAGTGAATCCTACCTTAGCCTGACACACAATCGAGTACAAATAACAACTAATTTTGGTCGGCTTGAACAGAAACAATTAGGTGATGTAGTAACAGCTAATGTCATATCCTACAGGAAATATCACATCTATTTTTAGATTAATCTAGAACAGATTGCAATGCAGCGAAGGACTAATTTGTCTGCAGCCATCTGTCAGTTGTTAGCAAGTCTGTAATAACTAAATAATCAAAAATAAAAATAATATCTCCTGTTGAAGATGTACACTGGATGGCAGATTGTCTATTGTTTGCCACTGTGAACAGTTACCGGAATCCCCCCCTCCCCCTTTGTCCTTCTTGAGTTGTCACTTTGTGTCGACGTCTTGAGCATCTGGTTGAGCAGCGTGTCTAAAGGTGTGCAATCCGGCCCACCCCTGTGCCCCAAGTCAACACCGAACCTGCCAGCCCCTGCGTATTATTTACCCTCGCATGCAACGAGCCTTGCACCCGGTTTGATCTGGCTGATCAGGAGGCATTTAAGGACATCCCCCGTAACTCATAAATTATTTAACGTCGAAGACAGGACGATGATCACAGCCAGAGTCAACACCGAGTCCCTGCCAAAAATATTTAGAGACGGTCTGGTAAGCGTCTGTTCAAAGGGCTGGCATGCCCTGCATGACCTCTATTGCGCAAGTAGTAGAACCAAGGACTTGCGGCAAAGCATGCGTGTACTAGTCCCAACGGGTTGGCATGGTGACCGTGACCCGAGTGCTTCGTACAGGGCCCTTCAGAGGCTTCGCCCGTCTCCCACCAGCTTGCTGCCCAGGAAGAATGTCGCATCTCAAGGTTGAGCGCTCGCGACACCTCACATCGAGAGGACTCTCAAGACAAGACTCACTTCCTCACGGTAAGGAGTAATGAAGATGGTAGATAAGGAAGAGAGCAACGTACCTTATAATGCTGCCCCCAACCACAAATTTCTCACTGAGGAACAACTATTGCGGAGAACCAATGAAGCGCAATATGAACCAGCTCCGATACCAGATTGCAAGGGAAATGAGCAACAGCGAGATGACAAATCCAGATTACACGATCGCATTGAAAGCCAGATAGTCACAGTGTGTCCAGAGAGCAGCATTTCACCAATAATACACCAATGGAGGTTCGTAGTACTGAAACCCAATGTCAAGGAGAGCGTTCTCTCTCCACACCAACACAAGATTCCAATCGCTTCACTCTCCTACTTGGCGCTCAGCGCCCAGCCTACTCCTACACAACTATTATCAACCTACTAATTGACAATGAAACTGCTGACATCAGCGACAACCCGAAGCACTTGAAGATGTCGCCCAATGCAGACCATCGCCAATACAAGGTATGTGCCCTTACATCATCATCATCATCATCATCCTTCACCCTTCCTTGACTTTACACCCACGTCTTCCTCCCTTACACCCGAAGACCACTCATGCGCCTCACTGTAGTCCAAGCCCACCAGCTATTGTGGCTGGGCTATGGCGCTGCCCTCAACGGTGCCCTTCTTCCCTGCACGACCGCACGTGCTGCACCTCGCCTCTCAGCGCCAGCAGCAGCCCACGAGCCTTTGCTCCAGCAGCACTGCCACTAGCATGTAAGTGCCTGGAAGAGGCTGAGAGTGGCGAGCTCTTTCCTTAATGGAAAGAGCCTGTCTGCTTCGCAGCCTGACTGGGTTGGGTCTGGGCCCAGAAGCTTCCGGTAGGCCCCAGGATGCTGCATGCTATTTTGCAGCTACTGGGCCGCTTTCGGTTGGGCCTCCCAACTGTCAGTGTATGAGGCTGCGTTTCTCGCCCAGGACCTGCATTCTTTGGAGAGGCCCAGAAGGCCGTGGAAATGTCTTGGTTGCTCGGCCTAACGCGTCGCAACTACCTGTACCCCAAATTTGAAATTGACAGTGGCCTCTTGTGATATGTTAGTCCCGCCTTCACTTAGGGCGGGCACCACTGCAACCGGGGCCCCTTAGGCCTTTCGAGGACCCAGATCCTCGCAAATGCTAATGTCAGAGGTTTTCGGATATTCGCATGGAAACAAAATGCTACTATCAGAAATTTTGGGATATTTGTTGCGTGAAAACGAAATGCTAATATCAGAAATTTTTCAGATAAAACGGAATGCTACTATCAGAAAATTTCAGATATTTGTTGCGTGAAAATGACATGCTAATATCAAATATTTTCAGATAAAACGAAATGCTACTATCAGAAATTTTAGATGTTTGTTGCGAGAAAGATTTTTTTTTTTTTTTGTCGGGATTTAACGGGATTCTACTTGATTCAAGCAATCATCAAACTATCCATCGATCAATTACTCAAGCAGGCTCCTTGATTGGGCAGATCCTTTGATTGAGAGGTCTGCTCCGATACCAAACTGTCGCATACCATAACGGTACAGACCAGAACAAGAACCAACCTCTCTCACATAGTACAAGATAGTGCAGCGGAAGGCTAATATACCAATGATCCGAACAATCAATGTTGCAATGCAGACCAAACATACATCATCGTCATTCCATGGTGTGAATGGGCCTGGCGCTCACACAGGAAGAATGCGCAAGTCCCCAACCATACACGGACGAAGAAGTGGGGGGTAAGACGAAGAAGAGGGGAAAATGGGAATGTCATCAACACGAAGTCTTCGGTACAGGTCCCAAATAATCGCTCGTCCAACGTCTCAATCCCAATGTAGAGTCTGGATCCAAATGTACTCAAGTCCCAAAGTCACCAATCTGTCTCTCTCTCTCTCTCTCGTAGTCTGCAGATACCGAGAAGTTAGGTAGCGAGAGGGTGAGGGAGAGATGGTGGACTTAAAAGAGGAAGAAGAACTCTCTCTCTCTCTCTCTCTCTCTCTCTCTCTCTCTCAGTCCGGTACTAACCTGTGAAGGTGGCGCCTTGTTGCAGGTACATCGAAGACGAAGTTGGAGCTATGGCGCCACAAGTCTCCTTGGCCTCCGCCAATCATCTCTATCTGTTACATGCACAGATATGCAATCTACGTAATAACCAAGGATCTGCAATGTGATAAAAAGGACTGAATGGACAATGCGGTGCGAATAGAATCTCGACAAGCAATGTGCATTCTCATACATACATAATGGTGCTGAATAGCGCAGGGAAGACTTAAATACGAAGACTGACCTGACCGGGACTGACCTCACTCACGTAGTACAAAGTAGCGACGCAGAATGCTAGAATGCTAATAACTAGCCCAATCAATGTTTTGAGCTCAGACCAAACATGCATCGTATCCCTCACCAGGTGTGAAGGAGCCTGGCGCTGTACACAGGAAGAAAGTGCCAGGTCCAGACATACACAGACGAAGAGGAAGGAATCAGACGAAAGGAGGGAGAGAGATGGGAATGTTGTCAACACCAAGTCTTTGTCACCAATCCCAAATAGTCCCTCGTTGCCATGTCTGAAGTCCCAAAAGTCGAGTCTGGATCCAATGTCACCAAGCTCTGTCTCTCTTTTCTCGTAGTCTGCAGATGCAGTGAAGTCAGATGTTGAGAGGGGGGAGAAGGAGATGGTGGATTGAGAAGAGGAAGAAGAAGAACTCTCTCTCACTGTTACGAGCGAGATACTGACCTGTGGTATTGGCACTGTGTTGCAGGTACCTCGAAGACGAAGCTGGAGCAACGGCGCTGCAGGTAAGTGCCTCTGGCCTCCGCCCAACCTCTCTCTCCCTCTCTAGTACTATCTAGCTATGGCTCCCAACGCTGGATACTATAGCTACCTACTGCGCCCAGCGCTGAAGACTACATGCTAACGCTACTACTACTCTACAGCGCTCCCTCCAGAGTGGTGCTCTCGAATCCTGAAGACTACAACTGCCTCTCTGCCTCCCTGTGAAGTGCCTGGGAGGTTCCTATGTACTACCTCGGCCTGCCTCCTGACTGCCNCTGCCTCCTGACTGCCTGAAGGGCGAGCCAGGCCGAGGAGGCAGCTCTTGCCAATGCCGAAGTGTGCCAGGGGCTGGCGTGCAGCAGCCTGCTGAAGCTGGCGGGGGAACAGGCTAAGATTAGCCTGTTCCCGAAACCCTGGTTCGGTGCCGAGTTTCAGGGCGGGTCGTTCTGATGAAAGACCGAAAATGACCCTTCGTTTCAGGCTAAAAAGGCTGTTGCCATTTTTAGTCTGAAACGACACTGGGATAGGCCTTGGAACTCAGGCTTTCGAGTTGAACCGACATGGGGCCTGTAAGCCCTGGATTTCAGGCTTTCGGCCTGAAATTCAGGCTTTTGGCCTGAAGTTCAGGCTTTCGGCATGAAGGACGTAGACCTGGAAAATGGCCTGCGTGCGTAGGCGCAGCATGTAACACCCCCCCCTCCTTATGAAGTCAAGCTGGGGCGAGGGCGAAGCCGATGATCTGAAGGCGGAACCTGGACGCGGGCGCGGCGTTGAGCCGAAGAAATCGGCTTGGCTTGCATCTTGCGTTCGTAGCGTGCGAGAACATCTGGAGCTGTCGCTTGAAGTTCCGCACGGGTTAACCAACGGTCATCTCGGTGTGTGCAGTATGCAAAATGCACCAAATACTCAGTCGGCCTGCTGCCGTAGCGTCGCTGGAGATGATGTCGCCGACCTCCTGAAAACCATCCATAGAAGGTGGGTCTTGCGTACGTCTCTCGGGAAAATCGTCATGTTCCGCTGGCGTGTAGAGAGCCCATTTGGAGCAATGAAAGACTGGGTAGACGGGCAAGTGGCCGGGCAGCTGAATCGTGAAGGAAGGTCCTTTGGGTGCGTCCCCAGCGGGCGCTACGATCGGCCAAGGCCCCATCCATTTCAGAAGGAGCTTGCGAGAGATGTCTTGTTCAAGGCTGAATTCCGCTGTGGAAACCCACACGAGGTCACCGGCGCGGAATGGACAAGGAAGACGCTGGCGATTGGCCTGCTGACTCATTGCGTCTTAGCCATCTGGTCGCGTGCCTTGACAAGCAGCTCTTGCATCCGACGCAAGAAAAGAAGATGGTCGTCGCTCTCGACCGTGCCTGGAGTAATAGTGTCCAGCGGTGACGTGACCAGCGAGCCGTGCTCGAATTCGAAGGGTGATATCCCAATAGCCGGGTGGATGGAAGAGTTGTAGGCCAACTCGACGTCCGGCAGTCGCTCAACCCAGTCTTTCTGGTCGGGGCTGATGAGAGTGAGAAGAACCTGTGCGGTTTGATGCCCCCTCTCCGTCTGGCCATGGGTCTGAGGGTGGCGAGCTGAACTGGGCTTGAGAGATGAGCCCCATCGCTTGATGAGCGCCAACCAAAAATCGGACATGAACCGAGTGTCGCGGTCGCAGACGATCTCCTTGGGGTAACCCTTGGTTCGAATCCAACCGGCGTAAAGAACCTCGGCCAACTCCGGTGCCTTGGCATGATAGCGACAAGGCAAAAACATGGCGAACTTGGTGAGTCGGTCGACCACCGTAAGAATCCCATCCACTCTGGTCTTGTGCTTGGGGAATGGGCCGGTAATGTCCATGGCAATCGCTTCCCTTCGCCTCAATGGGACCGGTAATGGTCGTAACTCCCCGTACGGACGATGGTTGCGAGATTTGCAGCGTCGGCACACCTCGGATGACTCGCAAAAACGCGTGGTGTCGCCTAGAAGGCCGGGCCACCAAAATTGCTGGCGAAGTCGGCCAATCGTGCGATTGACTCCAAAGTGTCCGGTGGCGGGAGCATCGTGGAACTCGCCAAGAAGCTGTGTACGCAAGTGAGGATCACTCGATACGCAAAGAAGGTCCTTTCCCCGCGTGTGGACAAGCAAGTACCCCTCTTGGATCTGGTAGTGAGAAGGAGCCGGATTAGGAGAGGAGCAATTTGCGTACTTGTCGTGAAATTCGGGGTCGGCTTGGTAGCCGCGGATGAAGCTGTTCCGCAGGTCATCGTCGATCTCGAAGGTTGAGTAGACCGCGGTACAATGATCCGGACGCCGTGAAAGAGCATCCGCAAAACGGTTCGACTTCCCGGGAATGTGATCGAGAATGAAGTCGAACTGGTCGATGAAAGCCATCCATCGAGCGATGGTGCTTTTGACGGTGTCTTGGGTTTTATAGTCCGTTACCCAGCGAAATTGGCTTCGACCAAGGAGGAAGTGCCGCCACCGCTTGAGCTCGTGGACGAAGGCGAGGAGCTCCTTCTTGCGTCCATATGGGGAGCTGCTAGGGCGGATCCATCCCTTGGCCAACAAATCGTCAAGTTGTGAGCGGAGGATCTCGAGTTCCTCCTCGCTCGTCCGATAGATGCAACCTTTCGGCGGCACGGCACCGGCCTCAAGAATGATCTCGTGAGAGATCGGCCGATCCGGCACCACACCGGTAGGTGACTCGAAGATGTTGGCGAACTCGTCCAGCAACCGCACCACACGGGGGTCCGAAGACAAGTCCGTGGGTGAAGAGTCGGCTACCGCGACGGTCCGTAGAAAACATAGGCCGATCTCCTCGGGCTGCTCATAAGCGCAAGTTGCCCGGAATGATTTGTCCGTCACCACTTGGCATCGGATCGAAGGGTGCGGTAGAGGAATAGTACCCGCCACTTCCGTGCCGAAAGGCGTCGCGAACGCTAAGAGTCCGCCGGTGGAAGTTGATCGTGTGATCCGCACTTGCAAGCCACGGCATTTCCAGAATGATGTTGAAGTCCGCGTCGAGAATATCGAATGTCACCGGTTCGCATGCATGAGGTGCGAAGTAGACCGGTACGGCCTCTATGTAATTGTCGAGAAGTTGTTGCGTCTTTCCATCCGCCAACTTGATCGCCATGGGGTTTGCCTTCCTCCGAACTTGTGCGCCAAGGCCAGCCTTTTGCATAAAGGACTGGCTCATGAAATTGCGACACGCGCCACTATCCAGCAAAGCATTGCAGGACGCTTGCCCAACCTGAATGAGGATATACATGAGCGGTGCGTTGTTTTCATCGTACCGCTGCGTGCGAAACTCACGGGCCACCTTGGTAGTATATGCCAGGATGTCCCCCACCGCGACTTCGTTATCCGTCGGCGAAGTTGGTGGTGCATAGAAGGATAAGTAAGTGTGAAGATGTGCGCTAAGTGGTGTGCATTGCGGTCCCGGCAAGCGGCTTGTGGTTGGGAGAGGAAGCCATGCTAAGTCCTCGGATGTGAGCGGGTCCAATACCTCGCGCGCCGAATCCCGTGAAGAACGCCGTTGGCGGACGGAGAAGAAACCGCACACACTCCTTGTCCTTGAGCTTGAGTACCCAGCGTAGGAACTAGCCGGGCAGCATAGTCCTCAAAAGAAAGTAGAAGAGGAGGACTATCGACTTCCACGTGCGCCTCAGAATGAAGGCCGGTTACTTGCGAAGAAACCGGTTCCGTAGGCGTCATGAGTGTTGTCGAGTCACTCTCGGCGGTGCTCAGTTTCCCTGTCTGCCCTTGCCTTTTAATGGGCAAACCTGCGTCTGATGAAGGTCGCTGTTGCACCAAAAGCAATAGTGGAATCTCTCTCGCGCTTTGAATGCTTGCTCGGAGATGCCATACTGGGACCATGGGCCTGTCCGAGCTGCTGCACCGGGCCCGGGGCTTGATGCGGTGTGTGTCTTCGTCTTGCCGCGTCCTTGGCCTCTGTCGGGGCGGCCACCTTCCCGGGCGGCTGCGAGTCTGTCCCCTTCACTGGCAGACACAACCTCACTGGTTTGGTCCAACGGTGTTGCCGCTGCGACCATGACCACTCTTGGCCGATGCTGGTCCCTGCTTGGGCCTGACGCAGATGAACGGAGGTTCTTGGCCTCCTTGTTCGTAATGATGATCTGCGCAGCCTCGTCAAACAATTCCGCCGTCGTCGTCAAGGTGTCCTCAACATGCGTCTGGGCATTGCTTAATGTTGGACATGACCTTGAGATGAAGTAATGACGGATGGCTTTGAAGCCCATTTAGATGTCTAGGACTGACGTCAAGCGTTGGTACTCGGCGATCCGGTCCGTACTCGGCAGCGTGCCTTGCTCGAAGACCATGAGCTTGTCCATGGCTTTGATCTCCGGCGGCTCCACCTGGAATCGCTTGTGCCACGCCGCCTTCTGATCATCCCAACTGATCTTGGTGTGCAAGTCGTTAGCTACCACTCCGTACTTGGACAACAGGTTGTCCAACCAAGCCTGGCACGCGCCCCCTGAGCGAGAGTACAAGTATGCGTGGTGCTTGTGTTCCTTGTCGTTGTGTAGCTGCAGTGTGAGCTAGAACTTGCGAAACCATGGAACATGATCTGTCTTCATTGAGTCGCAGAAGATCTCCTGCCCGTCGTACTTTGGAGCTGTCTCGCGCGGTTCAGAACTCGAGATGTTGGCGGTAGTGCAGATCCGCTGTTGCAACTGTTGTGTCGCGGTCTGCTGCAATTGCACGCCATCCTTGAGTGAGCTGACGTCCATCGCCAATGCGTTGAGGCGGTCAGAAGTATTGGAAGAGCTTGCATCGGCGGCGGCGGCTGGTCGCTGCTCCAACCGCTGAAGGCGGTCTTGGACATGAGCTAGCGAGTTGTCGAGAGCGTGGATCTCCTCCTGCTGTGTAATGCAGGTTGCCAGGTCTGTGAGATGCGAGAGGAGGAGCGCTATCTTGTTTGCGCTATCCTCCGACTTGCTATTCTCGGCCTCAGTCCACCATTCCGCTGCCATCGTAAGTAACGCCTGCTCTTCGGTAAATATTTTCTCACGACGTTGGTGTCTTTCTTCATCGGCAGCCCTTGCTGCTGCCTCGTCATGCTGGCGGTGTTGTTCAATTGCCAGCAGACGTGCCTGCTCGGCATCCTCTGCCTTCTTCTTCGCTGCTGCGGCAGCATCATCTGCCCGTTTCTTTGTCTCGGTACTCCAGGCCAGCATGCGGGCCTGATAGGCCTCGTGTGGATCCAAATGGAGTCAAGTCTGGATCCAAATGTAGTCAAATCCCAAAGTCACCAATCTGTCTCTCTCTCTCTCGTAGTCTGCAGATGCCGAGAAGTTAGGTAGCGAGAGGGTGAGGGAGAGATGGTGGACTTAAAAGAGGAAGAAGAAGAACTCTCTCTCTCTCTCTCTCTCTCTCTCTCTCTCTCTCTCTCTCTCTCTCTCTCTCTCT